CCTGAGGAATGCTTCCAGCACCTTGTTGAATCTATGCCACGAAGAATTGAGGCAGTTCTGAAGGCAAAAGGGGGTCCAACCCGTTACTAGCATGGGGTACCTAATAAAGTGGCCGGTGAGTGTATATATATATATGATATACACACTCACCTAAAGGATTATTAGGAACACCTGTTCAATTTCTCATTAATGCAATTATCTAATCAACCAATCACATGGCAGTTGCTTCAATGCATTTAGGGGTGTGGTCCTGGTCAAGACAATCTCCTGAACTCCAAACTGAATGTCAGAATGGGAAAGAAAGGTGATTTAAGCAATTTTGAGCGTGGCATGGTTGTTGGTGCCAGACGGGCCGGTCTGAGTATTTCACAATCTGCTCAGTTACTGGGATTTTCACGCACAACCATTTCTAGGGTTTACAAAGAATGGTGTGAAAAGGGAAAAACATCCAGTATGCGGCAGTCCTGTGGGGGAAAATGCCTTGTTGATGCTAGAGGTCAGAGGAAAATGGGCCGACTGATTCAAGCTGATAGAAGAGCAACTTTGACTGAAATAACTACTCGTTACAACCGAGGTATGCAGCAAAGCATTTGTGAAGCCACAACACGCACAACCTTGAGGCGAATGGGCTACAACAGCAGAAGACCCCACCGGGTACCACTCATCTCCACTACAAATAGGAAAAAGAGGCTACAATTTGCAAGAGCTCACCAAAATTGGACAGTTGAAGACTAGAAAAATGTTGCCTGGTCTGATGAGTCTCGATTTCTGTTGAGACATTCAGATGGTAGAGTCAGAATTTGGCGTAAACAGAATGAGAACATGGATCCATCATGCCTTGTTACCAATGTGCAGGCTGGTGGTGGTGGTGTAATGGTGTGGGGGATGTTTTCTTGGCACACTTTAGGCCCCTTAGTGCCAATTGGGCATCGTTTAAATGCCACGGCCTACCTGAGCATTGTTTCTGACCATGTCCATCCCTTTATGGCCACCATGTACCCATCCTCTGATGGCTACTTCCAGCAGGTTAATGCACCATGTCACAAAGCTCGAATCATTTCAAATTGGTTTCTTGAACATGACAATGAGTTCACTGTACTAAAATGGCCCCCACAGTCACCAGATCTCAACCCAATAGAGCATCTTTGGGATGTGGTGGAACGGGAGCTTCGTGCCCTGGATGTGCATCCCACAAATCTCCATCAACTGCAAGATGCTATCCTATCAATATGGGCCAACATTTCTAAAGAATGCTTTCAGCACCTTGTTGAATCAATGCCACGTAGAATTAAGGCAGTTCTGAAGGCGAAAGGGGGTCAAACACAGTATTAATATGGTGTTCCTAATAATCCTTTAGGTGAGTGTATATATATACACTCACCGGCCACTTTATTAGGTACACCTGTCCAACTGCTCGTTAACACTTAATTTCTAAGCAGCCAATCACATGGCGGCAACTCAGTGCATTTAGGCATGTAGACATGGTCAAGACAATCTCCTGCAGTTCAAACCGAGCATCAGTATGGAGAAGAAAGTTGATTTGAGTGACTTTGAACGTGGCATGATTGTTGGTGCCAGAAGGGCTGGTCTGAGTATTTCAGAAACTGCTAATCTACTGGGATTTTCACGCACAACCATCTCTAGGGTTTACAGAGAATGGTCCGAAAAAGAAAAAACATCCAGTGAGCGGCAGTTCTGTGGGCGGAAATGCCTTGTTGATGCCAGAGGTCAGAGGAGAATGGCCAGACTGGTTCGAGCTGATAGAAGGGCAACAGTGACTGAAATAACCACTCGTTACAACCGAGGTATGCAGCAAAGCATTTGTGAAGCCACAACACGCACAACCTTGAGGCGGATGGGCTACAACAGCAGAAGACTCCACCGGGTACCACTCATCTCCACTACAAATAGGAAAAAGAGGCTACAATTTGCAAGAGCTCACCAAAATTGAACAGTTGAAGACTGGAAAAATGTTGCCTGGTCTGATGAGTCTCGATTTCTGTTGAGACATTCAGATGTTAGAGTCAGAATTTGGCGTAAACAGAATGAGAACATGGAACCATCATGCCTTGTTACCACTGTGCAGGCTGGTGGTGGTGGTGTAATGGTGTGGGGGATGTTTTCCTGGCACACTTTAGGCCCCTTAGTGCCAATTGGGCATCGTTTAAATGCCACGGCCTACCTGAGCATTGTTTCTGACCATGTCCATCCCTTTATGGCCACCATGTACCCATCCTCTGATGGCTACTTCCACCATGTCACAAAGCTCTAATCATTTCAAATTGGTTTCTTGAACATGACAATGAGTTCACTGTACTAAAATGGCCTCCACAGTCACCAGATCTCAACCCAATAGAGCATCTTTGGGATGTGGTGGAACGGGAGATTCGCATCATGGATGTGCAGCCGACAAATCTGCGGCAACTGTGTGATGCCATCATGTCAATATGGACCAAACTCCCTGAGGAATGCTTCCAGCACCTTGTTGAATCTATGCCACGAAGAATTGAGGCAGTTCTGAAGGCAAAAGGGGGTCCAACCCGTTCCTAGCATGGGGTACATAATAAAGTGGCCGGTGAGTGTATATACACATACACACACAGCGTGACCTAGGCTGGCTTAATATACGGTTAGTTTAAGGTGACCTTTGCCTCTATAACAATACGGAGTTATATGAATATGTTCACCACTGATTCAATTTTCAGACCCCTAGCCCCTGTGTTCCCTGCTATAATATTTTCAGTCAGAGACTATGCTTATTATCATAAAAACAATCAAAGGTTCAAGTATAGTTGTTGTATATTCAGTATAACTTTGTTAAATTGTCTCATACCAACAGAACACATGCTAATTATTTGAATGTGTTATTTCCGATGGCTGCTTGCACTTACAACCATTTAAAATCCTCAAAACATCCTGAGGAACATAAGAAAAACTTAAAATCAGCCCTATGCAGCTGTCACATATTAATTCATGGGACAGGCTATGGCACCAATATGGAAGGGAATCTTCTTTGAAGTAAACTAAACAAATGTTTTCCATCTTAAGAACTGATAAATGTACCTAGATCAAAAGAAACCAAGTCTAAAAAACGAGTTCGGCAGTTCAGCAATAGTAACAGCAAATATCCTGTTACGGTTCTGCATGTTGAGCTAACAAATTGGCACTATCTCATTGAACCAATAGGATTCATATCCTCACTAAACTGCATAGGGCAGCCGAGGGCAGAGTAAATTGCGGAGACCCGCACACTGCCATCCCCACTGCGATACATACTAAACTGTTGAGTGATAATGACCAGAGAGAGGGTGAAGAGGTGGATCAGGAGGTACAGCGAGATTAGGCCCAGTGCGGTTGCGCTGTGCCAGAGTGTAGTCATGCGTCACACCGAGGCTGTTGTTCTGTTTAGTCCCTGGAGTGAACAGGACACTCATGGCTCCCTCTGATAACTTGTCTCACCATGCAGATGAGCCAAGACTTCCTCAGCCCACCAGATTTCCACACACACACACACACAGACAAACTTCTGCTGTAGATGCGTTGATTTATACCTAGTCAAACACGCACGTTGTTTGCATACTAACACAGTCACAGACTGCACTACAATCCACAGTACCTAACATGCTTCCTTCAGCTTCTTCTATCTCAGATAGTTTGGTGCAACATATTCTGGGATTCTTTTGGTCAAGAACTAGACACTTAGACAATAAAGGGCAGTCTGATATTTAAAGTAAGAATTTAGGGGCAGATAAAGTTAAAGATAAAGTTAGACGAAGTAGATTATTCAAGGATACAGTGTCATAGTCAAAACCAGCTCATTCGATTCAGAGACAAGACAGGGGCGAAAAGAAGGTTGAGTTCTACTCGAGACCAGGACCAGAAGAGGATCGATATACTCTAGACAGAGGGTCAAATCTGGTCAAGACAGAGACCAGAAGAGAATCGAGCCAACCAAATCAATGACAAGACCAAGAAAATATATGTTCTTGGACTCCAACACAATGACCAAGACCATACAAAATATCTTGATTTCCTCATAAAAACTTAACTCCTTCACTCCTGGAAACTACTTAAAATCCAACCAATCACATTGGAACTTTTTGTAAAATATGCATTAAAAAAAGTCCACAAATGTTGTGGGGGGTTATTTATACTTGGACACTTCATGCCTTTTTAGTAATACAACAATGAAAAAACAAATGTAAAAGTTTTCTAAGAGGCATTTTAGATCCATTCACTCAAATCACCACCTGAGATGGTTTGAAACTTCAGGAGATGGTTTGAGATGCATACAAGACACTAATTTTAAATCACAAAATTTAAATGCATAGTTGGTGAAACCACATATGCAAACTTTGCAACTACGTCAGCTCATGGACATTTTGGAGCCCCACAATCTAAATGTGAGTGTGCAAATCATGGATAAGATACATGGACATTGAATGATCGGCAACCACATAAACTTGCCATATGGGGTATAAAGAGTGTCAATAGAAAATGTAACTCATGAGGGGTAGACAGATTTATATACATCTTGCATAGATATATGTATGTGGCCAAGTGTAAATGGAGAGTGCATACTTGATCAGATAGCAATCCGAACCCTGAGGCTGGGACTGGGTGAGACTACTGTGCCCTTCTGAAACAGTATTGGCTTTGAAAGCCTTTCATGGGGGAACATTCTACTAGCTTGTCTCCTTCGTTTAAAAGGATTCATCCTCTTAGAGATTGGGTGACCCTGTGTCACTTATATAATCTGTTGAATTAAGTCTCATAGAGACATTTGCTTTAAATTCCACCTGTCATCCTTATGCGCTTCTTGACAGTTTAAGGTCCCAAATTTAGATTCCGTTTCTGCAGCCGTTGACCAATCTCAACGGTCGGACACGTTGTGTTCTAAGCCTAAATTAAATGTCCTCTTTTTTGAAGACCAGATTGTCTCTTTAGCTATGTCTCACATTATTTTTTCCAAAGCCCCCTCTATTTAAAAAAAGTGTTACCTGAAGTGTGGAAGATCAGCTTATCCCGCAAGCTGAGGAACGCTCCTCTAATCCTTACCGTCGCTTTTATTCCACCGCAGAGCCAGAGAGTGCCAGTCCCAGCAGAGCAGACCTTTTCATGTTCCCCTGCCCTCACTTTTCACGCCGTGCCCTCCGCTGGCATTCCACAATCCCCTGGACAAAGAGAGCAGGAAAGCTCTATTGTATTACAGAGCATCTAGGGTTACTTCCTAAGAGAAGTCTTAAGGAAAAGAAATGGTTTGATAAGAGCAAGGTAGTCATCCTCAATCAGTATTATGCAGAGTTCTGCACAAAAAGGTGATGAAGCAGGGTTATCAGAACTTTAGCACTAAATCCGGCAATATTTACCCTTTATCACAGCACTTTGGTGGGTTTTAACATTCTTAACATCTGTCCTACCCATTGTGAAATGTTTAACTCTGAGACGTATGATCAGACGTGACAATTACACTTACGCATTTGGTTGACTGTTTCATCCAAAGCAACTTAATGTGCATTCAATGTATAAATCTTCGTTTTGCGGGAATCGCACCCATGACCTTGGTGTTGCTATATTGCATAAAAATAAATGTTTAATCTTGTTTTACTTTTTTCCCAGTTAAAATATCTAGAAATGCTTGCAACAAGATACATTTACTCAAGACTGCATTTGATGAGACTTTTTTCTAAATAATGAAACTTTAATACATGTGTATTTTGTTTTATTGCATTGGCAGATTTGTGTTATAAGCAAGTTAAAAACATGTTTTAAGGATCTCTTTAGATATTAACTGTAAAACACGACAAACAATTTGTTGAGTAGCACCATGCTCTACCAGTTGAACTTCCGAACTACATAAATAATAATAAATAAGTGACTTTATAATTGTCCACATCACCCACACTGGCTCTCCAATGACCCAATGTTTTGGTGTATGATGAGAAAGGAAGAGTTTTCATATTTAATTTTGCAGGATCTAGCAAATAACCATGTCCTCATTATTTTGGCCAAGAATGACTTATTAGCATTCATGGTTTAACATCATTCCATCAACAGTCAGCAGTATAAAGTCAGATTACTCTATGGAACCCTTTCTCTTTAATTACAGTGTGGACAGATTTTTTTCAAAGGTGAAACTATTCCCCTGCTAGGTGTGGCTTCTGTTTATGAGGAGACTGAGCTCTCTTTTTTGTGGCTTTCATGTGGCAATTAAATCTGTCTCCTAACACTGGGTGGCGGGAGGTGCTAAGACAAGCAAACGTCTGAACGAAGAAAAAAAAAAACTTTTGGCTGAAGGCTTTAACAAATATAATTAATTACTCCAGACAGGTATGTATTGAAAACATTCTGATCCAAGCCTGTGAGCCATTTAGATCAGTGGATATATTCAAATAAGCTATAGCAAAGACACAAGAAATTAAGCCAAATGTTTCTTAGAAGTTTTTAAATGTAGGAGGAAAGAAAAATGTTTTCATGTTTTGTCTAAGGATGTTTTAAACCACATTTACATGACTGCTGAATATGGGTTTAGGAGTCGTTAAAGAAAATCATCATGGTTTAGTAGGGTTGAGCTCTATCAGCATTGTGGCATAACGTCGATTACCACAGAAAGTTATTTTGATTGGTCCCTCTGTATGAACGAATGTATGCATGCATGTATGTTTGTATGCATGTATGTATGCCTTTATTTATTTTTAAAAAGCTAAATTGTGGTTACAAGAATGCACTTACGATTAAAGTAAATAGGACTAATGTTTTAGAGGTTTTAAAAGCATAAAAGTGAATTGAAAGTTAATTATTTGAGCAGTAAAGCTGTCCTAACCATCCCTTTGGTGAAATAAATGTATATATATCATTAAATCATTTTCTGTGGTAATTGACATTATGCCACAAATACTGCTGATAGAGCTTAACCAGTATTGAATGCATTGCTTTTTTTAAGCATATTTGTTTGGACTAAAACAGATATTTGTATATATATAAACAGATTTGAACACCCAAGTTTCTTACTCAAATTACCCACACACAGAGATTTCTCTCCTCTAGCACATTAGCAATTCAATTGTTCTTCTCAGAGGGGTGGGGTGGGTGGGGGAATCCTGGAGTCTTCTGACACTTCCCAAATCAATCACGTTGTTTCTACCCTCTCGACAGAGATAAGGTGCAAAGGGAGCAAAAATTCCACACCATTAGGTCACTGTAAGAGAAAGTGTCTAGACGTTTATTTGTGTCTCGTGTCTCTCAGTCTCGCTTTGAAGGCGCGGGGTGGCCCCTCTGTCAGGTGTGTCCTGACGGGAGGAGGCGTGGGGCGTGGGGTGGGGGGTCTGGATCAAGGTGTGGTGCTTGGGCTTTGATGTGGGGCCTGTCATGCTCCGTTGCCTCCTGATGCTTCTTGGCTGCCGTGGTGTCTACAGCCGCAGACCAGGTAAACCTTGGGCCTCTTTCCACACACACACACACTCATACCGCTGTCCTTTTTTGTACGCTGTGACACAGGAGGTGCTGAGCTATTGAAGGGGTTACAATGCACGTCTTGTTGCCCAGCCTCCCACATTTCTCCATTCTGTGGTTACTGAGAAGACAGCTATGCAGTAATTTCAGAGGTATTATGCCCCAGGCAATAGGCCCCTGTAAACTTAAAGGGAAAAAGGTGTCTCAGGTAAGAATCAGGCTGAAGGCTGCGTGATGAATTCCCATTATGACATTTTATTCTTCGCATCTCTCACCCTCAAATCAAAGTGCGATTACTCCACTTGAGACACGTCAACATGTCCGCGTTTCAGAAGCAGGTTAATTTCTTGCCAGTCTTTATTCTATTATGATAACCCAGATGGCAGCTGGAGAACTTAATTCCTCTTATATTTACCAAGTATGAGCAGAGCTGTTATGAAAACCAATGTGCTCTGAAGTTGCGGTGTCCGTTTTCGCCACATTGCTCCGCAACATCATGCATGAGAGACTGCGATTGCGGTGTGCATGTGCAGCATATGCTGTGGGCGGCCTGGAATGTGCATGACTGGTGAACACACACACGCGCACACACACACACACACACACACACACACACACGTGCACACGCGCACACACACACTGCTAACTTCAAATACTAAACATCAAACACCAACACTGTTTTATGCCATTGTAAGGTCATTAATTCATTTTGTTTTATGAATGTTTAGGATTTTTTTTCCCTAATACAAGCAAAATCATCTGCCAATAAAAGAGGACAAAAGAGATACATTCAAATTAAATTCCCTAAAAATTAGTTTTAAAGGGATAACTCACCTAAAAAAGAAAATTCTACCCTCGTTTACTCACCCTTTTGTCACTTCAAACCCTTAGGATTTTCTTTCATCTGTGGAAGACAAAAGAGAAAAATTTGTGAACTGTCTGAAAAAAAGGACAGATATTCAAATCATTAATCACTGAAAATCTTGACATCCACCCAAGCGTTCATGAGAGCAGTAGCAATGTCTGTTTTGTGAACAAATCATTCTTTTCGGGTTCTCAAGTTCAATTCACTGACTCAAAGGTCTGGTCACATCAGTTAACAATTCACTGAAAGTGAGATTATCAATGAATAACAATTTCTCACACAAAACTGGCTTCAGAAGAAAAGTGAGACCAGCCCAGTGTTCAGAATTTCTCCTTTATATATGTTTGGAATAACATGAAGGTTAGTAAATGATGACAGAATCGACTAAACCTTAAAGGTTATCTTGTAGATTGTACAATACATTTTATAAAATAAGGCAAAGATACAGATTAGGAAAAGGATTTTTTTTTCTCTCCAGTGAAGACAAACAACACACCAACACTAATGACAGTACCTCACAGTTTACATTGTTATCCTCTTTCCAGGGGTTGAACCTGTGCCCTTTGGCATTCTCATTGTAATGGTGATAATTTCCCATCAAGTAACTAACTTCAGGTTTTTCACCTATAACCTTTATGTCTGCACACCTGAAACTTCAGAATGACAGTGACACTTCCTTTACACAAACCCACCTTCAGAGCTACATGCACAGTCATTTCAAGTTTTGGGTCTCATTTGCATGCGATTGAACTCAAAACTTTTTTGAAATTCATAAGCCACAAATATGCACTTTTCACACACTCCCATGCACTGTTTAACTGCTTGTAACATCACACAGTTTGGCTAACAATAGTAAAACATTTCTGGAAAGTCTTTACTTGGAAGCTGCATTAGCTAGCAACATTTTTGCTGTTCGATTACTATAGCATTAGTAAAATGTAAATCAAGTGTATTTTTAAATCAATGTCTGAGCCCTATAGTGAGTAAATGCTTTTACTGAAAGCGATTCACCAATTCAATTAAAAGCTATTCTTTTCCTCAGGTTCTTAACATTTGGCTCAACAAAACTCTCATTGACTCTTACTTATGTTTAATGCAAAAACAGCACGTTGAATCAACCTGTGGTTAAAGGCTTGTTTTAACCTGTGATTAAAATTATTGTGAAAGCACATACTTACTGGAGCACACATGCAATTGAGACTGCAAGGTATTTATGCATCAGGCCTAATTCACACATTTGCATTTACAACAAGCACTGTGCCAAATGAAATGATTTTCTCATAGACGTTGATGGACTGTACCTACAACCTTTGTATAACTGAACAATAAGGTGTAAATGTTGTGAACCATTTCGTTTTACAGTAAATGTTTTGTTTTCAAGAGTGACAAGGGTTAGTTGTCACACTTCTTACTGTGGTGAGTATTTCTCAATGTAGGCTTATAAAAAAAAAATCTATTTCTGTTTGAGCATATACTATACCTAAAGGGTGCTATAAAGGGTAGCATTAGCTATAAACAGCCCATTATAGACTTTCCAGCAAGATATATACAATAAAACAGCAAAAAGCTCTGTTTTTGCCCAACAAATATTAAATAAGTAATAAATAAAAGTATATGAATAAATATTTAAATAAACTAAATGAATACATTAAAATGAAGAAAGAAAAAAAAAAACACACGTGAAACTTGCTCCAACCTGGTATTATTGAAAAATCCTAAAAAAAAAAAAAGATATGCTTAAAGATATAGCCCGAGTTGCAGCTAGTCCTGGTTTCCTGTTTAAATGTGCAAGTGGGGATTGTTAAAGTATTCCTGGAGTATAGTGAACATTAAAGGTTTAGACTAGTGTAACAGTTA